TGGCTTTTCTAGGATCCTCGCCTACAAAGAAGTGGTTTCTCCAGTCCTGGTCCTTTCCCACCAAACCCTGACCCTTTTCACCCACACAACCATCCCCTTTCCACCCACCTGTGACCCTTCCACCCAACTGTGACCCTTCCACCCGTGACCCTTCCACCCAGCTGTGACCCTTCCCAAGCACCTCTGTCCCCTTTCCCCCATCCTTTCCCCTTCCAGAAGATTTTCTAGGACATTCCACCAACTCCCATGAATTTCGGGGACCTGCAGTGTGGTTTTTTTTTAGGGAATCCTCGCACCAAACCAGGACTTCGCCAACCACAGCCGATTTGGGCCAATTAATTTAAGCTAAATGAAAAACCCTCTTGAAGAAAGGAGCGGGCCAGGGCTGGGTTTTGAGGGCTGCGGCACAGGAGCCACGGGGGTTTGCCGGTGTTAATTGGCAAATCGGCTTTCCCCCGAGGCTCGGGGGGATTAACGCCGGCAGCCCGGCGGAGCCGCACCCGGCAGAGCCCGCGCCGCCGCCGGCAGCAGCCGCTCGTAGGTGTTGAAGATCCCGGCATCCGAAATGACCACGGGAGCCAAGATATCCACCGAATCCTGGCCTTTTTTGACGCTCACACCTGGCGGGGGAAAAGCAGAGGGGGAAGGATGAGGCGCTGGTGGAAGGAGCCCCGCTTTGGGGGCAGCCCCGGGGCAGGTGCTCACCGCAGGCTCTGCCCTGGGCGTCCAGCAGGATCCTCTGCACCGGAGCCTTCCCGAAGACGTTGCCTCCAGCCCTGCGGATCACCGGGATGGTGTGGAAGGCGATCTCCCCCGCCCCACCCTTGGGGTACCAGGCGCCGTGCAGGAAGTGGTTCACCAGGATGCTGTGCATGGAGAAGCTGGCCTTGGAGGGGAGCACACCTGGGGAAAGGGGCAAATCCACACCAGGGGTTTGGGCAAATCACGGGTTTGGAGCTCATCCTAAGTGTTTTAGGATGAGGAACACCCTGGATGTGACACTGAGAGGAAGGTGAGGAACCTGGAGGGGTAGGGAGGACATTGGGTGTGGGTGTCCCCATGGCAAAGCCCGTGGTCACCAACCTGACCAAGGCGTGGGGGGCTGTGAGCAAAGCCCAGGTGAGGGGGTGGGGGGAAGGGAGAGGTTCTGGAACATTCCCTCGTACAGGAATGATGTCACCCCCACAGGGAAGATGAGGAATGCAGAGGGAAAGAGATGGAGATGAGCAACGGGGACGTGTCACCTGCCAGTGACTTGGGGACAAGGATGCTGGCGAAGCATCCACCAGAACATCCCTGCAAACCTTCCACAAAATGGGGTTCTTACCTTTTTTTTTTTCTGTTTCTAAAGGGTTTAACGTCATCCCAGGGCCTCCTGGTCACCTACCATAGGTGGGGAAGATGTAGCTGAGGACAGCCCGGAGCTCGGGGTTGGGGGTGAGACCATCCACCACCTCCTTGAGGCTGCGTGAGGCCAGCTGGGAGAAGGAGCAGAGGCGTGGCAGCAGCCTGGAGCAGATCAGGAGCCTGGCCACGAGCCTGGGGAGCATCTTCAGGGTCCCCAGCAGCACAGCCCCACGGCCGGCGCTCTGCAGGGAGAGCAGGGGGCTCAGACACGCCCCAAAGGTGCTCCAAAGCATTTTTTTCTCCCCTTAAATTCACTGCCAGGCAGCCTGGGGAGCTGTGGGCAAGGCTGGCTCCCTCAAAAAGCTTCCCTCAAAAAGCTCCTTCAAGAGAAGCTTCTGTAAATGACCTTCCCCATCAAAACTTCTCCAGAAAGGTCCTCCCAAAAAGCTTCCCCAAAAAATTGCCCTAAAAATATGGTTCTTGGGAAAAAGACTCCACCCCAACTCAAACAACTTCTCCTTTAAAGAAATCTCCCCCAAAACATCCGTGACGCTGCGTTTTTGAGGCAGAAAGGGGCGGTTTGGCCCGATTTTGCTGATTGGTGTGTTCCCCAGCACTTTTGGGGTGATGCATCATTCCCTGGGGGTGCCCAGCATGCAGGTGCCAGGGGGGCTCCCCTCGTTGTGTGACCCCCCCAGATCCAGCTCTCCTGGTGTTCCCCCACCTTCACCAAGCGCTGGAACTCATCGATGGCCGCCGCCTCCCCGGGGAACTGCTCCTTCAGCCTCTGGAAATATTCCCTCTCCCCAGCATGGATGTGGAAGGTCTTGCCAGCGCCCTGGGGGTCCCCCAAAACCACGGCATCGTAGGTGGCCGGCAGTGGGGCCCACTCCAGCTGCCCCTCTGTCAGCTGGTCCACCAGGAACCGCATCAGGGAGCCCTCCTGCATCTGCCCCACGTAGTGGATCCCTAAAATAGACATTTTTTCCTTCATTTTCCTCTTTTTTCCCTTATTTTCACCTCTTTTTCCTTTCATTTTCCCACCCCCGGACACACCAAATCCACCTCTTATTTATCCACCCCCACCCCATCTGCTCCACGTGGAAGGGGAAGGGAAAATCTGGGATTCACCCAGCTGGGGTGGATGGCACTGGAAGGGAAAATCTGGGATTCACCCAGGTGGGGTGGATGGCACTGGAAGGGAAAGGGAAAATCTGGGATTCACCCAGCTGACCAGTGTTTTTAGCTGGTGATTTTGGAGTTTTGCCACACTTTGCTGCCCACCTCTGCTGTAAATAATCAAACCCAGCCATTCGGGGACACACAGGGCCGGACTTTGGCTGCCAGCAAGACAAAGTGTCCCGAGGTGACACCCCGCACACGGGGGCTGGCTGTGGGGAATTCGGGGGGTTGGCATCCCACACCCAGAGGGTCTGGGGGTGAAGGGCAGGGCAGCTCCCACCCCGAGGGCATCCCGCGCCCCTCCCTCGGCCCCGGGGGTGAACGGTACCGGTGTCGAACTCGAAGCCCCTCTCGGTGAAGGTGTGGCAGCAGCCGCCCAGCTTGCCGTGCTGCTCCAGCACCAGCACCCGCCAGCCCGCCTTGGCCAGCAGCGCCGCGGCCGCCAGGCCCCCGATGCCGCTGCCCACCAGGATGGCATCGAGCTGCGCGGGCACCTTGTCCGCCGAGAACACTGCGGGCAACGGGGGGACAGAACAGAATGGGGGACCCCACAAACTGCCGTGAGCGGGTGGCACCGCGGGGGTAACGATGCCAACCTGGGGGAGTCCGTGACACCCGCGGTGGTGCCACCTTTGGGGTGACAGTGCCACCCTGGGGGGAGTCTGTGACACCCGCGGTGGTGACACCCTGGGGGGACAATGCCACCCTAGGGGGGTTCGTGACACCCGCGGTGGTGCCACTCTGGGGGTGACAATGCCACCCTGGGGGGATGTCCCTCGGGGGCGCTGCCAGCCCGGGGTGACACTGGGGGTGACAATGCCACCCTGGAGGGGTCCGTGACACTCGTGGTGGTGACACCCTGGGGGTGACAATGCCACCCTGGAGGGGTCCGTGACACTCGGGGTGGTGACACCCTGGGGGGACAATGCCACCCTGGGGGGGGTCCGTGACACTCGTGGTGGTGACACCCTGGGGGGACAATGCCACCCTAGGGGGGTTCGTGACACCCGCGGTGGTGCCACTCTGGGGGTGACAATGCCACCCTGGGGGGATGTCCCTCGGGGGCGCTGCCAGCCCGGGGTGACACTGGGGGTGACAATGCCACCCTGGAGGGGTCCGTGACACTCGTGGTGGTGACACCCTGGGGGTGACAATGCCACCCTGGGGCTGTCCGTGACACTCACCCTGGGGGAATGTCGCTCTGGGGGCAGTGACACTGGAGGGGACAATGCCACCCTGGGGGGGTCTGTGACACCCGCGGTGGTGCCACCTTTGGGGTGACAGTGCCACCCTGGGGCTGTCCGTGACACTCGTGGTGGTGCCACTCTGGGGGTGACAATGCCACCCTAGGGGGATGCCGCTCCGGGGCGCTGCCAGCCCGGCTGTGCTGTCCCGGGTGATGATCCCCCTGGGGGTGGCGATGGCACCCCGCGCTGCTGGTGCCACCCCGGGCCCGGTGGCCCCGGGGGTCCCGTACCTGTCTTGACGACCGTCCTGCGCACAGCCTTGTCGGTGACCAGCGGCGCGGGCGGGCGGCGGCTGTCGGTGGCGAAGGGGTTGCGGCCGCCCGAGAGCCGCAGGAGCACCAGGGAGAGGAGCACGAGGAGGAGGAGGAGGAGGGCGGCGAGGAAGAGCAGCCACATGGCGCCGCGGGAGCCGCGCTCTGCCCCGCGGAGCCGGGAACGGCGGGCACGGCACCAACGGGGACGGCGGGCACGGGGCGGGGGGACCGGGGGAGGAGCGGGGGCGGGCACTGGGAGTGGCACCGGGAGCTGGGAGCGGGGACTGGGAACCGGGAGCTGGGACTGGGATGTGGCACCGGGAACTGGAAGCTGGGACTGGGAGGTGGCGCTGGGACTGGGCACCAGGAGTTGGGACTGGGAACTGGGACTGGGCACCGGGAGTTGGGACTGGGAAGTGGCATTGGGCACCCGGAGCTGGTGGTCCCGGGCACCGGGAGCTGGGACTGGGCACTGGGAAGTGGCGTTTGGCACCGGGAGCCGGTCCTGGGCACCGGGAGCGGGGACTGGGAAGTGAGAGCTGACGCTGGGCACCGGGAGCTGGAGACACCGGCGGTGGCACTGGCACCGGTCGCCCCCGCCGATCCCGGCAGCCCCGAGCCCCGTTCCGGGCTCCGCCCCTTTTCGCCCCGCCCCGCCCTTTTCGCCCCGCCCGCCGGGCCACGCCTCCGCCCCGCGCGCCTCCGGTTCCGCGTCGCGCGGGGCGCGCCGGGAGTTGTAGTCCCGCGTGCGCTCCCTGGCGGGCAGAGGTGCGGACTACAGCTCCCGGTGTGCAGCGCGGCCGCTTCGGGCTGAGGGGTCTGAGGGGCTGGAGAGGGTCTGGAACGGGGCTGGAACGGGGCTCCTGAGGGGCTCCTGAGGGGCTCCTGAGGGGCTGGAAGGGGCTCCTGAGGGGCTGGAGAGGGTCTGGAACGGGGCTGGAGCGGGGCTGGAACGGGGCTGGAGCGGGGCTGGAGCGGGGCTGGAACAGGGCTGGAACGGGGCTGGGACGGGGCTCCGGAGGGGCTGAGGGCAGCAGGAGGCTCCTGAGGGGCTGGGGTGGCTGTGGGGTGTCAGTCGCCGGGACACCCCCATTCCCAGCGGCCGATCCCCTTCTGTCCCGCAGGCCATGAGCGGCGCCGGGGGCTCGGAGCGGCCGGAGCCGCGGCCGGAGCAGAGGTCGGAGCCGCGGCAGCGCGGCCGCTTCGGGCTGAGGGGTCTGAGGGGCTGGAGAGGGTCTGGAGCGGGGCTGGAACGGGGCTGGAACGGGGCTGGAACGGGGCTGGGACCGGGCTCCTGAGGGGCTGGAGCGGGGCTGGAAGGGGCTCCGGAGGGGCTGAGGGCAGCAGGAGGCTCCTGAGGGGCTGGGGTGGCTGTGGGGTGTCAGTCGCCGGGACACCCCCATTCCCAGCGGCCGATCCCCTTCTGTCCCGCAGGCCATGAGCGGCGCCGGGGGCTCGGAGCGGCCGGAGCCGCGGCCGGAGCAGAGGTCGGAGCCGCGGCCGGAGCAGCCCCGCGTTGTCCCCCCGGCAAGTTCCTCTTTCCGGCCGTGTCCGCAGGAGCTCCCCCAGCCGAGACCCGCGGGGCCCCCACCTCAGGGGTGCCAGCCTCATTGCTCCATTTCTACCGTTAAAACCACATAAAATCGTCCTGAGGGTGCAGACCCTCCCTGAAGGGGCCTGAGCCACCTTCCCCGTGGACACGGGGGCTGTTCCCTGGGGGAAAAGCTTGGGGTTGGGGGTGGGCTGGTGTTTGGGGTCTGTCTGTGACACTGTGCTCCCTCTGTCCCCATCAGATTCCAGCCCTGGGGCAGGGAGGTGTCCTGCAGGAGCTGATGCTCGGAGCGGGGCAGCCCCCAGACGCTGGTGAGCTTTTCCTGCTTCTCTTGGATCAGTCGTGGCTTTTCCCGGTGGAAAGTCACCCACGAGCCCCCAGGGATCAAGCAGGGGGGGATGTCTCAGTCAGATCTGTCTGGTCCCAGATCATTCCCCAAACTCACCCAAGACAAACCTTGTGGTGCCCGGGGTGTGCCAGTTGGGATTTTCCTTGGAAAAGAGGAAGCACAGCCCAGTGTGTACTGAGAGGGGCTGGGGGAGCCCCCCACTCCCTGTCTGCCCCCCAGATGTGACTCCAGTACCCCTTCCCTTGGGCAGGGATCAGCGAGGAGCAGCGCCAGGCCCGGGAGGAGTGGGAGGCTCTGGAGGAGATCCAGTCAGGTACTGGGACTGACAGGGGGCTGGGAAGGGGGGAAAAAACCGCAGGAAGGACGGGTGGGGGCGAGACGGGGCGGGCAGTTCCTTTTCCCCCTTTTCATTCTCCTGGAGCCGGGGCTCATTCAGGGCTCCGCGGGGCTCTGACCCGCTCCCTGCCTCCCCCGCAGGGTTGGGGGGCAGCTCAGGCGCGGCCCCCCCTCCGATTTCCTTCAGCGAGGCGCTGCAGCACTTCCAGAGCGCGGAGCTCCCCTGCCCCCGGGTACGGCCGCGCTCCGGCTCCGCTCCTTGCCGGGAGGGGCCCGGCAGCCGCTGCCCCGCCGCCGGCCGCGCTCCCTGAGCGCCTCGGGCTGTTCCTCCCGCAGGGGAAGCTCCGGGCTCCGCGGCGCCGCGGGATCCTGGCCGCCCTGCTCCGCCGCCTCTGCGGGCCCCCCCGGCTGCGCCCGCAGCTCCGCGGGGAGCGGGAGCTGGCGCTGGCCATGGCGCAGTGTGAGTGGTGCCCTTCGTGCCCTGCTGCGTCTCATCCCTGCTCCCTTCCTGCGGCTCCACGGCCCTTTGCCCCTCAGTCCAGGGGCGCAAGGGGTGGGAATCCCTTGGCAGGAGGGGGGCACACATTGAAACCTCGGGCCTGTGGGTCTGGGGGGCGAGTGGCCTTCTCTGGGCACCGAGGGGGTTTTAAGGTGCCAAGCTGTGATTTTTTAGGCGCTGTGAGGGTGTTTTTGGAGGGGGTGGGTTTGGTTTTGGGCACTGAGGGACATTTTCTGGGTTTTTTAGGGCGTTGAGGGGTGAGTTTGGGGTCTTTTGAGCGCCAAGAGGCATCTTTTGGGTGCTGAGGGGTGTTTTTGAGAAACAGGGGTGATTTTTAGGGTGCCACGGGGCATGGGTTTGGCTGCTGAGGGTTTTACAGTGCCAAGGGGCATTTTTAGCTAACAAGGGGGGGGGAGTTTAGATTCCAATGAACATTTTTGTGGGCCAGGGGGTGTTCCTGGGGCAGCGAGGGGTGTTTCCCAGACGCCAGGAGTGTCCTGAGCCCCCGGGCGCTGGCTCCCTCCCTGCAGGTGCCCTGGATGACTCGGAGCGGGTGCACATGCGCATCCTGCAGACCATCTACCGGCAGCTGACGCGCTCCAGGCTGGGCTGCCCGCGCTACGGGGCACACTGGGAGGAGCTGGGCTTCCAGGGTAGGACAGGCAGCAGCCCTCTGCCTGGGGATATCCCCAAAATCCATTCAAACCCCCCCTGGAACCTCCCCGTTCCAGCTCAGCTCCCTCAGGCACTCCCTGTGCTCCAGACCCAGCTGCACTGGCCTCCCTTGGACATGGTCCAGCACCTCAATGTCCTTCTTGGACCCCAAAATTGATCCCAGGTTTGATCACCCCAATCCTCCCACTCCTCTCCGTATCCCTACAAAATTCCCAGGGGCACTCTCAGTCCCTTAATCCACAGAAGAATTAAACCAAACTGGCCCCAGTAGGACATGTGGACTGGTTGGCTGGGTCATGCCAGTACCATGTTCCTAAAAAAGCTGGTGATTTCTGGAAAGGTGTGGGAGTGGTGGGGTGGGGCAGGGGCTGGGTAATGCCCGGGTGAGCCAGGTGATGGCCCCACCAGGGAAATGGCCTGAAAGCTTTTCCTCAGAAAAGGGAATCCTTTGTTGCACTCTGGAAGTGCAGTGACAGGGAGTACAGGGAATAACAGCCCATGGAAGTGGGAAGGAGGCAGGGGGTGACTCCAGGCTCACCTTTCCAGGTGCAGACCCCGGGACTGACCTGCGTGGGACGGGAATGCTGGGGCTGATGCAGATCCTGTTCTTTGTCCTGGATTCCCGGACGCTGCCGCTGGCACGGGAGATTTTCCAGCTCTCCCAGCATGAAACCCAGGCATGACCTTCCCCCTGCTCCCTGCCAGGGGGTCTCCCTTGGAATTCCCCATGCTCTTGGAGAGGGAAGAACAAAAACCTTCTCTTCTGAGTTTTTTTTGGATGCTGAACCATCCAAGAGCCCCGATCCAGGCTGGAGCAGAGCTCCAAGTGCTGGATTTATGCTGGGAATGGGATTTTAGGGATTTGATCCTGTCTTGGAGCGGGATAAACAGGCTGGAGAGTTGGGCAACAGGAAAATGGGAGTGAGTAGAGACATTTTAGTCTGGGTTTAAGCCTGGGTACACGATAGGCTCAGCCCTCAGCATCCATCCAAGCCTGGGTCTGTAGGGCTGTTATCCCAGTGCGTGGATCCCATGGATCCATCCCATGGATTTGTGGATGCATGGTTGCAGTGTCAAAGGGCCAGAGGTGCCAGAGGGGAGGAGGGTTTTCCAGCTGAGCTTCCTTAATGCTGGAATTGTGGTTGTTTTCCAGAATTTTCCCTTCTGCATCATGTCTGTGAACATCACCCGGATCGTGATCCAGGCGCTGCAGGAGGAGCGGCTCTCCCGGTGAGCAGGGCTGGTTTTGGGCTCTCAAGCTGCATCCCAGGCTGTTCCCCTGCCCAGAGGGTGGCTGAGCCCTCTCCTGCTGTAATAATAATCAGTTGGGACTCAGTTCAGAAAAGGCAATTCTTTATTCACATAACTCATTTTATGCAGAGTTATGCGAGTAACTCCATAGCTGGTAGTTTTCTTGTTAATCAGTTAATTAGTTTAAAAGTGCCTGTGTGTGTAAGAATTTCTCCATCTACAAGTGTTTCCATATTTCCTTAGTGCATTCTCATGGGACAGACTTATTGCTCATGGAAGTGCAGATTTCCATTTTCTCCAGGAACAGTTGTCTGTGTTAATGGACTCTTCACTCCCAGCATTGTCCCACATGGGAACACGCAACCTATTGCTAGCTGAGCTAGACTAGCAGGGCCTAAACCACATTTTTGAAGATTTCTGTAACACTTTGAGTGGTCAGTAATGCCTGTGCTCCCCCGTGCAGGGAGTGCAACCGGCGGCAGCAGGTGATCGGGGTGCTCAACGACCTCTACGCCGCCGCCTTCCTGCGCCTCTCCCGCCTCTGGGAGCAGCAGCACGGCACCGTGGCCAACGCTGCCTTCTTCCTCAAGGGTGTGTCCTCCCAGCTGCTCCCTCCCCGCCCCAGTCACACGGGCTGCAAAGCACAGGAAGCGCAGACAGTCCCAGTTTAATCCCCACGCTGAGGTTTTTCCAGTTTTCCCCTGTGCCAGGGGTGTTTTGCCTCCTGTTTTCCAGCCCAGGGGGATGCTTGAGGTGGGTGACACTCCCTGCTCCACAGGCAGGAGCCATAGCTTAGCCCCTGTCCATGAATTACTCCAGAGAAGAATGCTCTCAGTGGGACTCAGAATCCCTCAGTATCCCTCAGAAATCAGGATCCTGCTGGCACTGCTGGGCCCCAGCTTCACCCCACCTTCCCTGCACTCCAATTTTAGGGTGCTCAGGCTGGCACTGTGCTCCCTCCTCCCAAGGAAAGCACAGGCCTGCCCTTTCCCAATGGAAAATGTAAGGACACAGATGTATTGAACCCTTGACACCACCCAGGCCTGCTCCCCTCAACCTCTTCCCCCTCTGACCTTTCCAGAGCTGGAGTTATCCACCAAAAAGAAGCCGAGGCAGCTGCTGAAATCCCTGGAAGCCTACCTGAGCCGCAGCCTTCGGCCTCCCTCCCCTCCCTCCTCCTCCCAGATCCAATTCACCAGCATCTGTGACCCTGGCGTGGAGCTGGAGGGAGATTCCTGACCAGGCTGACATGGAGGGAATGCTGCACAGGGAATTCTGCTGGTGGATCAGCCCTTGGAGGGAGACACACCAGTGTTCCCCTGGTTAGGGGGCTCAGGAAAGGCTGGGAGAGGTCACAGAGCTGGGATTTTGCCTGCTCCAGGTGGAACTTTCTGGAAGCAAAGGAGGAGGAGGTGGCAGAGCAGGGGATTCCGTGAGCCACCCAGCCTGGTGCTGGGACAGTCGCTCTCCCCACCCCAAATCCAGGGTCCCACCTGGGTCCTGACCCTCCCCAGGTGGAGCAGGAAGGTGGTGCTGGGCTCCTGGATCCCATCCTGGCCCCAGCAGGGCCTGCAATGGGCATCCCCCCACTCTGGGGGGCTGTGTCACACCCCCCAGGGCCATGTGGGCTGTCAGCACCCAAAAAAGTTATTAAAGGGGGGAGACAAGGGGTCTGGTGGGAAAGGGGTTTGGATTTGTCACTGGGGGTGCCCAGAGTCCACTTTGGGGTGAAAAAGGTGCTGTGGAGTTGAGAAATGAGGGTTGAGAGCTCCAGGGAGGAGGGCAAGGGTTATTCCCTCTGGAAGCTCAGGGCCAGTGCTTGGGAGTGTCCCCAGGCCCCCAAAAATGGGGAAAATCAGCCCCCAAAGCCCAAATCTGGAGAGAAATGAGGGGTTTGGAGGAGTGGGAGCTGGGGGAGAATGAACATTGTGGCCCCAGCCCCCCTGAGAGGACAGTGATTCCTGGGGGCTGGGAATGCTCCTGGATTGAAAAAATAAAATAAAATAAATGGAGAAAAAGGAGCCTGGAGTTGGGGTTTGCTGTCCTGATCTTGACTTATTGTGGAAGTTGAAGGGGGAATTCTTTTCAGGTGTTTTGGGGGAACAAAATTGTGTTGGGGGGTCGGGGCAGTCTTGCACCAGTGGGAACACATTTGGGAGTGGTATCTGGAATAAGGGGGGGATAGAAACGATGAGAGAAAAGGGAAAAAGAAAGGATGGTAAAAAAGGAGAATAAAAGCAATGGGACAAGAAAAAAGGAGGTGGGAAAAACCAAGAAAGAAATAGAAAGGACAAGGAAAAAAGGAGCGAAAAAAAAGGAGGGAAAAAAAAGGAGGGAAAAAGGCTCCACCACCCTTTTCCTAGTTTGTTTGTTTGCCTTTTGCCTCTTTCTCCCCTCCTTTCCCTTTGTTTCCCCCTTTCCAGGCAGTGGTCCCGGAGGTGCGAGGCCCCCGCCCCTCCGCAGGTGAACCGGGGCCCTTTGGGCCTTCCCAGGCCGCTGCAGCCCCGGGGCTTCGGAGGCTGGGGCCGGGGACACCGGGGGCCGGGGACACCGGGGGCCGGGGACACCGGGGCTGCTGGCCCTGAGGGGACGGGCACAGGGACGGGGACAGGGACAGGCCGGGAGCGCACGGCGGGGCTGCCCCGGTGTCCGCAGCGGTGCTGGGAGCCCAGAGGTGACCGGGACCCGTGGAGGGGCCGGGGGCTGTCCCGGGCCGGGGCCGTGGTGGGGCTGGGGGCTGTGGAGGGGCCGGGGGCTGTCCCGGGGCCGTGGAGGGGCCGGGGGCTGCCATCCCCCGGGCTCATCCCCCGGGCCGAGCCGGGCGTGGGGCCGGGCCAGGGGGTTCCTGTGGGGCTGTGCCGGGGTGCTGCCCCACACCTGGGCCTGGCGGGCCCTGAGGGTGTGCAGGGGCAAGTCCTCAAATCCTGCAGGGAATGTGGGGTGTGAGGGGTCAGTGTGGAGGGAGTAACACCCCAAATTCCCTGTAGGGCATGTGGGGTGTGAGGGGTCAGTGTGGGGGGAGGAACACCCCAAATTCCCTGTAGGGGATGTGGGGTGTGAGGGGTCACTGTGGGGGGAGTAACCACCCAAATCCCCTGTATGAAATGGGGCGTGAGTAACCCCTCAAATCGTGCAGGGAATGTGGGGTGTGAGGGGTCAGTGTGGGGGGAGTAACACCCCAAATTCCATGTAGGAAATGTGGGGTGTGAGGGGTCAGTGTGGGGGGAGTAACACCCCAAATTCCCTGTAGGAAATGTGGGGTGAGTAACCCCTCAAATCGTGCAGGGAATGTGGGGTGTGAGGGGTCACTGTGGGGGGAGTAACCCCCGAAATTGTGCAGGGAATGGGGGGTGTGAGGGGTCACTGTGGGGGGAGTAACACCCCAAATTCCCTGTAGGGGATGTGAGATGTGAGGGGTCAGTGTGGGGTGTATAACCCCCCCAAATTCCCTGTAGGGGGTGTGAGGGGTCAGTGTGGGGGGAGTAACCCCCGAAATTGTGCAGGGAATGTGGGGTGTGAGGGGTCACTGTGGGGTGAGTAACCCCTCAAATCCTGTATGGGATATGGGGTGTGTAACCCTTCAAATCCTGTAGGGGATGTGGTGTGTAACCCCTCAAATTCTGTAGGGAATGTGGGGTGAGTAACCCCCCAAATTCCCTGTAGGGGATGTGAGATGTGAGGGGTCAGTGTGGGGTGTGTAACCCCCTCAACCACCCCCAATTCCATAGGAGTTTTTTTGTGTCTGCAGGATTTATCCCAGGACCCTCGAGCACCAGTGCCTCTTCTTCTCCCCAGTTTGGGGGTGTCCCCCCAGCCATGACACCCCCCAAGGTATGTGACACCACAGGGACCCTCTGTGCCACCAGCCTGTCCCTCGTGAATCCTCTCCAAAATCATACTGGGGTCTTCTCATTTTCCCCCTCTTTTCTTCTCCCCTGCTACATTTTAAACCAAATTTACTTTTCTTTTTTTCCCTTCTTTTTTTAGAAAATGAAATTTGTTATTAGCCCCACCCCTCAGAAGGGAAGGGGGATCCCGATTTGGGGGCCAAGGAATTGGAATCCCCCTGACTCTGGAGGTGGGGATGGGAAGGGCTGATGAGGGGTCTGGGGTCTCCCCACATCCCACTGAGCCCCCCCAGGCCCATATTTCCCAGCTGATCCCACTGGATTTGGGTTAATCCCATGGGATCTGTGTCTTTGAGGGAGGGAATACCCAGTGCCAGGGTGCTGATCTCCCACAGCCAGGTTAGTTCCCCTACACCAGGTTGATCCAGGTCCACACAGTCACCCAAAAGTGCCACCAGCTTCTCCCAGCTAAAATTCCCTTATTCCTTGCCCACACCACAAGCGTGTTTTGGGGTGTTCCCACCCACATTTGGCATTCCCCGACGCCCCTTCCCCTTTTCCTTTCCCTGCTCAGATCCAAACGTGGAGCGGCCGCTCGGGCCCGAAGCTGGAAGTGTTCATCCCCTTCCTGGGCAAGTACCACCGGCCGGTTTCGGGGCGCTGCTGCCAGACCTGCACCCCCAGGAGCTGGGTAGGACACTTTGGGGTGCTGGGGAGGGGTCTGCACCTGCAGGGGTTTGTCGGGGTCAGCTGTTCAACATACAAAACCCCTCTGTACAGTGCTCCAAAGTTTTTCCCTTCACCTTGTGATTGCTACTACCATGCTACTTAAACTTTTGTGGCCTGTAATTCTTTATATAAGGCTGGCAATTTGCTCCGTGAATTAAGATCGAATTTCCAGGTGTCTTTGGCTTCCTGCCAGGGTCTGCGAGCCCCTGCCAGGGCTTTGAGACATCCAGGGCATCCAGAGAGATGTCCTGGCTTCCGACAGGGGTTTGTTAGGGGTTTATTCCCTTTTTCCTGCCAGGATGGATTCTACCCCGAGGACCTGGCCGCGCTGGGGTTCCGCGATGCCAGCCGCCTGACGGAGGCGGACACGCGGTGAGCAGGGAGGAGCTCTGTGCAGAAAACACCTGCACAACCACTTCTTCCCCCAAATATTTCACCACAGTGCCTGTGGGAAGCCCCCTCCATCCTCCCTGGTTTGTCGTTATCACAAACCAAGCTCGTCAATCAGTTTTGGGAGGGTGGAAGTGGCGCTTCCGAGGGTTTGGGATGTGCTCCACTCATGGGATTGGGGATTTGGGGTCGTGCCTTTGTTTGGAGTCTGGGTGGGAAGAACAGGGAGGTGGAGGGTTGTTCTTCTCTTGGCTCACAGGGAAAAGGGAAAACAGCCACTTCCCTCTGGAAGGAAAAATACCGGGAAAGGCAAAATTGTGGTTATCCCCCCTTTTCCTCTGGGCAGGAGCTGCCACAGAGCCATTTCAGATATTTTCATTTTTGAGGTGCCAGATTGCTTTAGCTCCATTCCCCTTTAGACAGCAATCCCTGGATTATCTGTTTTTTGCTTTTCTCCATCTGAAGTTGGGTCATTGTCCTCCATTCAGTTCCAAATGTTCCCAGTTTCACCTTTGGAACCCTTGGAAGAATCCATTGGGATCACAGGGAATGCAGTTCCCCTGTCCCACTCCAGCCCTTCCTGCATGCTCTGGGATGTCCCACAGCTCCCTCCCACCCTGCCCTCAGTGCACATTTGGGGCTAGATTGGGAAATTTCTGTGATTTGGGAATCCCAGGTTTGAATCCCAGCTTTCCTTCCTGCTGGGCAGCCTGAAGCATCAATTCATGCCTCAGCTGTGAAATGGGGAGCAATGTCCTGAATCTGGCAGAGGGGCAGGCTGGGGGGCTCTGATCCTGGTGGGAACCCCCCCTCCCGGCCAGGATGTCACCGTGTGTCCCCTCCAGGTTCCGGGGCTGGCTGGTCCGGAGGGTCTGTGGGTTCCTGGCAGCCTGGGAGTGGAAGATTCCAGCAGAGAGCGCCGGGGAGCTCCTGGCGCGGGTCTGCAGCAGCAGGAGGTGGGCGGGAGCAGCCGGGGCCATCCCTGCCCATCCCTTTGGAGCCCAGCTCTCTGCACCCCAACACGTGGGTGCTGGGGGCTCCCCCTGCCCTGCTCTCCCCCTCAGGGTGCAGGATGCTGCCTCCAGCCGGGAGCCTGGCTCTGGAGGGGACGAGGGATCCCGCAAGGAGGAGATCTGCCAGATCCTGAGGGAAATCCAGGCCCCGCTCTCCCCTCTGCTGCTGAGGTCACGCATCTTCCGGGGAAATTCTCTTGGGGGGTGGACACAGATCCTTTTGGGGTTTGGGGGGATGCACATGGATCCGTTGGGTGGTTTCCTGGGGTCCTTTTTGGGGCATTCTGGGATTTTGGGGGGATGCTCATAAGTCCATTGGGTGCTTTCCTGGGAGCCTTTTGGGGGATATTTTGGGATCCTTTGGCTGCACACAGATCCTTTGGCTGGCTGCCCTCCAGGTCCTCTCTAGTTCCATTCTCCCAATTCCTTCTGAGGAGCTGGGTGGGAAAATCCAAGCCTCACAGGAGGGAGGGAAGCAGAGAAAACTTTCATTTTCTTTTCCCCGTTCCATCACTGACAGCTGGGAATCCAGGGCTTCATTGCTTGTCTGATCCAGTGGGAATAAAGAGTACTTTTGAGCCATTAAAGGGCAGGTGTTCCCCTGGGAGTAAGAGCATTTTGGGATCCCAAAGTGGGACAGGAAGGTGGAGGGAATGCAGGATTCCCGATGCCAGTGGAAAGGAGGATGTCTCATCACACACAGCCTTTCACATGTGGTAAAAGCAGGAATTTTGAGCAGGGGGAAACTGAGGCAGGGAGGGTTTGGGGAAGCCCCATCCCCGGCAGGGTTCTTCATTCCCAGTTTCCCCACAGGCTGTGCCACTGGCTGCTCCCCAAGCTCCTGACCCGCCTGTTCCTGGGCGTGCAGCTGCACCGGGGGCAGCTGGAGATGGTGCTGCGAGCTGCCAGGACGGTAGGCAGCCCCGCCGGGCCCTCCCAGCCCCTTCCACCGCCAGCAACTCACCCCAGCATGCCTTGCCTGCAGCCCGAGGTGCCGCTGGTGTTCCTGTGCAGCCACCAGTCCCTGGTGGACGGGCCCCTGCTGTCC